TAGGTTATTTTGTGTTAATTCTGCAGTTATAGCAATGTACTGTTCTAGTCAGTATGTTTTAAATTTGGTTATTTTCTACCAAGCAGTAGGCTTCCTTACCAAATGTTGGAGCAAAAATTAGAAATAAATTAACTGGAAATAGTTTCTGTCTTTTTTTGCAGTTTTATAATAAATGTTTGTTAATTTCCCCAAAACTGTTAGGCGTTTACTGTTCTATGGGATCTCTTGAACAAGGTCAGTATATTATTTTTATAAATGTAATTTATTTTTATAAACTTAATTATTTAGTCTTCAAAATTGATAAAATTATGGGTGAATGGCTTGCAGGCTAAGTGCTCCTTTTATACCTCTAATATCTTCCCAATGAATTTCACCATGTCAGATTCATGACAAAAATATTAAAGGTGGAATGAAAATTGACTAACACTAGATACGATGCTTTCATTTTTGCATAATCCCCTCTTCCCAAAACCTCACTGAAATATGAAATATTCTTGCACCAGACATAGTAGTCCTGTCTGTGTGGATGGTATTAACTGGACCTCCACTCAGTTCTTCAAAGATAATCTTGTAAAGAGATTACCTCAACACAGGCAAAAAGGGTGTTTTCAAAATTCGGGGTGGGTGGTGGGTGGGTGGGGTGTTATTGCTGCCTGTTTTGTTCCCTGACTTCTGAAAGAAAACATACCAACCAAAATTAGATTGGTTTTGTTGGAAAAGCCAATGATGTTTTAAGAGTAGTGGACAGAAAGTTTTCTGAGAACTGAAAACACTGAGGCTTTATGTTGCTGATACTTAGTGATATGTCATGGTACCATAATTTAAAAACCTGAGATCAAATGAATTGCTAGTGGAATAGTAGCTGTTTTGCACAACTACATAAACTGATGGGTTACAATATTTTTTTATTTCAGATTAGTTTAAAAACAGTGGCATCTGACGGATAGAATAGTTTTGACTTCATATTATAATGGTAAGCTCATATTTTAAAGGTTTGTAAGGGGGCATTAGATTTCCAAATGAAGCAGTGTGTGTTCTTTGATCTTGTTTCATGTTAAAATAAACATGTTTCCTTTGTACTGTTAATGATGAAATTGTGAAAAAGACAATGGGAATCTCTCTGAAAAGCAGTGATGATACAATTTTACTGAGACAGTACAACTGATGTGAACTACATAATTATTATGTAGTGTTACATTATAATATATAAAATCAGCATTAAAATTGGCTGGTTCTTGTAGTAAACCTGAATGTTCCAGTTTGAAAGTCTTTTTAAAAAGCACCAAGCATCACCACGTGTGATCCTGGCTTTACATGATCCCTAAATGTATTTTAAATTAGGAACTGAGCTGTCTAGCAAAAACAAAGTACTTAAGAGGCAGAGAATTTATAAGTTTTACAGCAAATGCCATAATTTGTTCCTGTCTGATGTATCTGCCTATGTGGCTCAAGGTAGCTGAATTCCATTTCATCTCAGCTACCATAAGTGATAAATTTTAAGAGAATGGAGTTTTGGGGTCATGCAAAATCGTTTTGGTGTTAAATGAACATTTGCAGAGTGCCCTATTGCAGGGGTGTCAAACTCAAGGCCCACAGGCCAGATGGCCATGCCCATGCAAAGGAGGGTAAAGTTGCGATATGTCACATGTTGTTGCGACTTTGACACCCCTGGCCTGTAGCAAGTGCAAAATTGAATTTTCAAGTGTTCTGAAACTTTGAATCTGAATCTACAATGCTTTGAGGTGGAAGCTGGCCTATTGAAACAATTTCAGTTTCACGGGAACTTAAATGATGTGATATTTGGATGAAAATAAACATAACTTACTGTATTTCTAATTAACAGTAGAGGCTTTGTTTAGCTTTTCAAACAGAGTTGCTCCTTGTTTTTAGCAAAACAATGAAGTTTTGTGGAGCTATTATAAATTTGCTAGTTCAACCACACATGGAAGAAATAATGCATGTGAAAAGTCAATTTTGCACAATAGTTAGAAGTTGAAAATTAATGTCTGTCTGATTCCCTAGGTAGTTGATGAACTGACATTTGGCTTTCAAGGTATGTATACTCTACGTTAACATGCTTATTTTCTTGAGAATGGTGAAATGATGTTACCCCAATCTTGAACTCTCTTTCTGAATAAGTGATGCAAGATCTAAGATCTGACCCATTCACATTTTACATTGTTTTGTATCTCTAAATGGGGAATGTATTGGCTTGATTCCTTTTCATTTTTCTCTTTCCAGATCTGAGAACCTGTCCAGAAATTACTATTCTCAAATACATTGGAAGATATTTTGGAATCTAAATGTCATTAAATTAAAAAGATAAACACTGGACAATAAAGATTTTACTTCCTGAACATTTTTTAGTGTATCTTACAGATTTTTGGTTGCTAATGATGAAAATAAACTAATGTAATCTATGACATACCATTTAAAATAAATTATTTTGCAATTTTGTTTATATATTTAAGTTTACTAATTTTCATTCGTGTTATAAGATGCACTTGGGATATTTCATAGCATTTGTGGAACTTGGACATGCCTTGGCATGCTCAGGCTAAATAGATGCTACCTGGAAAGACTATTAAAAGCAGCTCACATGCATGACTGCTCATTTTGTTCGATAATTTCCTTGTTATGCAAATTACACAAACACCGACAATGCTATGCTTTGAAACAATCACGTTAAAGAACCTGGAAATGATTATCAATGAATACTCTAGGGGAGGAGGGATGTCAAACATCACAGTGGCATCATGTGACACATCAGGACATTTTTCCCCTTCGCTAAACTGGATGTGGGCATGCCAGTGCGTGACTCATCCGGCCTATGGGCCAGGAGTTTTGACAGCCCTGCTGTAGGGGAACAAGAAGAGGTAATTGGGGGCGAGTTATTAGGCATCTAGTTCTTGTACTTCATATTGGCAGGCATGATTGGGAAGGCATTGGAATTTTGGGTTGAAACGGGTTATTTTCCTTTCAACAAGTGATGTTAATCCAAAATTTCTTCAGTGTCAGGAAAACCACTGCTTTAAAATGTGCCTTGCTGTGTAAAAGCTTGAGTGAGCTTTGAGGTACACAGCAATTTGGGTGCAGGTTGGCAACCAGTATCAAAATCCAGGAGAGCTTATTTTGAAATGATTTTCTTGGCTTCAGGTTTTTACCTGAGCTTAGCCTATTTTCTACTACATGAGCTATAGTCCCAACTCGTGATTTTGGGCTTGTTTCTATTTTTATAAGCATTGAACTAAAGATGACTTGTAACTCAGTCCTACTCCAAGACCATCCCTGGTTAGTAACTCAAAAGATTCAGGCTCCATCTTATCAACTTCAATATGATCTCGTTAATTTCTTGTATGGTGATATCAACTAATTACTTTTTGCAGTATAGAAGGTGACTGAAATAAAATAGCCACATTTCTAGATCCCCACTTTATTAATTTGAATATGTAGAATGGTTTTGCTGTAATTGATACTTACTTGTCTTTCACCAATGCTTCCTTGGAGAGCAGTACTTGCTTCACACATACTCCCTCAGGATATAGTTTTAGATCTCTGCTTATTCCATGCAAATTAGGATCCACCTTTGCACCACTATTGTCTGCTTTTGATTCACAATTGCATGACTGTTTTAACTGACTCGCAGCAGTACTTGGATGACTAAGCTTAATAAAAATACTTTACTCTAGCAAAACTATAGTCTAGATGCCTCTGAAGAAAAAATGCTATCTACAAGGCGAACTATTGCCCAGTAAGCCTTCTTTCAGTCATCTATAAGGTTTTCACCAATATAATAGCAAAAGGAATATTGAGAAATGGCTAGTTTCGATTATGGAAAAATAAAAAGTTGAGCATAGATCTTAATGCCTTATTCAACTGCATCAAAGGAGTCGGAAGTCAATGCCTCCCCACCCCCCGACTATTCCCTTTTTCATTCCCTAATTTCCCTAATATTTGCTTTTATATTCTCTGTAATAATAAAACTATTACAAAAAACAAATGATTTCACCAGGACATTGCCACAATGGAAAAACTATCAGGGTAGCTGAGATCCATAAATGCTGGCTGACTTGCTGGACATAGCAAAATGCATTGGACACTTGAGTACAAATGAAATTCAGCAGCAAAACTCTTGCAGTCCTCAGAAGAACATAGGAAATGTAATTAAATATAATTTTATTTCGTATTTCTCAAGATTCCTACATGATACAACCAGTCAGAAAATACATTTGTGTCCAATTTGAAGTGATCTATGTAATTGCCAAAACATTTTGGGAAGCACAGCCTTAAAAAAAATTGTCCAGTTTAATTGGTTCCTTATTAAATTTTATTGTATAATAAGTTGTAGCTGCAAATTTATTTTGTACAGTAAGGCAGAGTTGAGTAATCTCTTCCAGAGATACACACACAGGTCATAGTTATAAAAATAGAGATGCCCCTGTCCTAAAGAGACGTATACACGAACACATAGACACACTGTTCTGATGTGAGGGGAGCGTAACCAACATTAGGGAGGTAAAATCCCATTGTCTCTCTTAGTTGCAGCAGCTTTCACATTTTCTAGAGGTCCTCCCAGGAACTGTTCTGTTCGTTCAGTGTAAGGCCTGTTGGAACTAAGGGTCTTGCAGGAACAGAAAAGCAATAGTTTTATTTGGCAACTTGGCAGTTAGGAAGAGATGGAGTAATACAGTGGAAAGCACAAATGTTTACTGCAGAAATGGACTTCAACGGTCCAAATGTGAATTTTTGAAAAATATGTAACACAAGCAAACCTAACAATCTGAAATAACAGCTTCTATATTATGGCTGGATATACCTGAGAGTTTTATTTAGGTAAAAAAAATTCGAAAGCCAAACTATGTAAGTTGAAATTATTCCCCCCGCCACACCTTTTTTATACTGACTTGTATTAGAGCAGGGGTCTCCAAACTTGGCAACTTTGAGACTTGTGGACTTTCAACTTCCAGGAATTCTGGGAATTGAAGTCCATGAGACTTAAAGTTGCTAAATTTGGAGACCTCTGTATTAGAGAAATTTGCCATTTTTGCTATCTAATCAAGTTTAATGAATTGGGGAAAATGCCTCCTAACTGGCTATACTGTATTTCTATCTTAAAACCCTGAAGAACAACCCCCCAGTTTGGTTTCAAATAACCAGTTTTTTAAATAAAACTGAATGATCTCCCAGAACCAACAATAGTTTTTAGTACTGAAGCCAACCTTAGTACTTAGCTTTGAGTAATTAGGATAACACAATTAATTTATATTTTTATTACATTTTGAGGCTTTTTGATTACCTTCATGTTCCAAAATTAATTTGGAATTCTTGTTTCTTATTCAGCTCATTCTATCTTGTGTTTCCATGTTATTTAACACAATGGTATTTTGCGAGGATTATATTTCTAGAGACCAAAATTTTGAAATAATCCAATATAACTACATATGAATGTTGCTCTAAACCACTAGATAAAATTTGATTATTTATGCAAATTTACAGGCAGTGGGGTGCACCTTCTACTACAACTTTAAACATACTACTTTCAAACTGCTACATTGGGAGACATTGTTTCATAGGAGAGTTTTTGATCAAAGCTAATACCAGGATTAAAGCAAACTTTCATAATTTGGTTCAGTTAATTTTTAAAAACAATTCCCTGACAGATTATAGATTCCTTTCAGCTACTTGGTACAGGATAGTCACATTGTTCATACATAATGTCAAACCAATTAATACTTATAGCACTTCTATAACAGTTCTGATTTTCACATCAAAAATCTGTAGAGTAGTTGCAATACCTCCCAATATGACCAAATTGTACCGGATATCAACTAATTACCTCTGCAAAAATCTATATATACTTCGAAGATCCTCCATCCATAAAGACAACACAACAAAATGTCAAAACTGCATCTGTCTATATCACTATATAACAATAGTAATAGGACATGCTGTCTTCTGCACATAACATTATTGTACTTCAGATATACAAATATATAAAGCCTCATATTTGTGATTCCATACTTACCATTAGAACAAAGGTGACACAAAAGAAATGTCCATGGTATAATGAAGGATGCCCTTGATTCTTTCAACAGTTCACTTTCCCCACAAATATGGATAATCTGTTCACTAGTGACAAATTTAGTGTCTTTGCTACGATTTCTTAAGAATATATAATTTTCAGTTAGTCCTTGCTTTAGCTTCTGTCAAGGGCCATGTAACCTGCACATGATATGGCTCAAGTTCTTGTGGGTCAACATAATCTGGAGCATTGCTCATCAAATCCCTTCCCTTGAAAGATTTAGGGAAAGCAATGACATCTCGAATACTCGAACCTCCAACTAGAAGGCAAATCAGTCTGTCAAGCCCTGAAAAAGAAATGCATTAGATATTAATAGTGCTCTAAAGTTAAATAAGTTTTGCAAAAAAGATCCTACTGCTGTCAATTAAGCAATAAAAAGTATATCAGTATCTCTCCATTAATAAAATATATTGTACAGGTAAAATAAATATAAGGTTCATTTCAGGAAAAAGCTGTGGGTACTTTGTCTAACACTTTTAGACTGTAAAATGGACAAAGAATCTGAGAAGGGTGAAAAAATATGCTTGTACAGTAGAATGTAAGAGCTTCTTATTCTATGAACTTGCTAATTCACTCATTGCTTTTTACTTGTTACTTCTCTTGCTATTTTTTCCATGTTGGGAATTTTTCTGGAATGAAGGAATTATATCTTTCATTAATTTAGATAACCTCTCTGCTTATGTCAGTTGGAAAAACTGTGTTGGTGAGCAACATGTCTTTAATTAACTGTGCTACATTTGAGAAATATATCAAGAGGGATAAGTATTCAAGTGCTGAATCAATAAAGCTATATAACTGTTTTATTGAGTATGTTGCCTTTTTGATGACTGGGAACAAAGATCCCCAAATAGAGAGAAAAGCTTCTGTTTCTCCTTTCAAAAATAACCAATTTTGAAATACAAACCATTACTTTTTGTTCCTAACTACACTGAGATAAAAAATAAGTCAGAATAAAGAATGAAGGTGATTGATAAATGAAGAATATAGTATTACATACTAGTTTTGTTTAATGAGCCAAAGGATTAGCAAAGCAAACTTTTCTCTGGCTTAGCTATATTTCAAAATATTTTTTTAATATTGGGAATTGTTTGCACTTTCATCCCCTAGAGATAAGCATGAGTTATCTTTGCTCTATTTCACCAAAGTACCAGTTTTTATAATATGCACAATTAGTTTGGAGAAACAACTGGAAAGTATTTTATTTGTGAGAGCACAAATTGCTCATCAGAAGAACCCTTCAGACTACAAGAGAAAACAACAATAACCCTGAAACAGATTTTTACTTAGAAAAATGTGTTGTTTTCTATGTAGGAATAATTTCATTCAGGAAAAAATCAACTGACTTTTATGATCTTTCTATCTCACACTGATAATCATTGTAGGTCAGGGGTCAGGGAACTTTTTTACCTCTTACCCCCCAAAAAATTTATAAACGCAGACGTTACCCCTCCCGGCCTCTCCCCCTCCCCGGCCACCTCAGGCTGCTGACACATAATTTGGAGGTCGAGGCGGGAGGAGGTGCCCTCCCCCCCCCCCGCGGCTGGGAAGAAGGCGGGATAGCTCGCTCCAGGGAATGAAATGTCACCAGGCTTCCCGAGGGCTTCTGGGAATTTTCTCGGGGCCAAGGCGGCAGTTGCAGGTGCCTCTTCGCTTCCTGGGTGCCTGGCAGTGATGAGAGGCTTCGGGGAGGGAGCCGGGCTGGCTGGCTAGTTGGCAGGCAGGCAGGGCCTGGGGGCGAGGAAGCGGGAAGGGAGGATGATATTTGGGAGCCACGGTGACACAAACTGCGCGCGAAAAGCGTGCGGTCATCGCAGCGCGGGGGAAAGCGTCCCTTTTCCCAAAATGCTCTGCCCTATGCCAGAAGCTCGCCTTCCCCTAAAAAACGGGCGGCGCGGCTCTTGCAGAATCTAGCCTGGAGTCATTTCCGACCCAGGAAACAAGGGTGGGGTGGAGGGGATAAATTTGCCTCAAGGGTGTTTTAATAACTGCTGCTATGCCGATAGTTCCACCATTGGCCAGCGCAACCTCCTCATTACCCCCAGATTTTCACTTTTACCCCATTTGGGGTAATTTACCCCTGTTCCCTGACCACTGTTGTAGGTACTATTTATTCATAGAATCATACAGCTGGAAGGGGCTATAAAAGTAAGGTTGTCTAATTTCCCATATGTGGGAAAATCCAAATTTTTAAAAAAGATACTGACCTAGTGCAATTCCTCCATGTGGGGGTGCACCAGACTCAAGAGCTTCAAGGAGGTGAAAAAGCAGCTCAGTGTCCTCCTAAGAATGTAAAAAGCAATACATCAAAACAGGATTTTTGTTCACAGAGTGACCAACAGTTACTTAGGGAAATTCATAGGCAGGGCCAGAGTGCAAATGTATATTTCCTGTATATTCCTTCTTTTTAAAAAAAATATTAAAATTTTTAATAATGGTAAAAGGTAATACAAAATAAAATTGCACTGAGACACTGCATGTTCCTTCTGACATAAGAATAAAATAGCTATTACAATCGATAATCATTGAAGTCCTGGAAAACCAACTTGGGTATTGTTTGCTTCTTGATCTTGGTCTAATCTTAAATCTCTGCTCATCTGGGTGTTAGTTGCTGTTGAAGAAATGTTTTACACATTTTGTTTGCTTTTTAGCTTTTTGATGGTCTCTTTTGAACAACATGTAAATAATGTTTATTTCTATGTACCTGATGATGGCTGATTTGTCTGAGTGCCAGGCTTTCAGGAATTCTCTAGTGATTTTGGACTTAGCTTTGTCTAGGACAGGGGTTGCCAACCTTTTGGACGTCAGGGACCACCAAACTCATAATTTTAAATCCCAGGGACCACTAACTGGTTCTGTGTGTGTGGCCTAATTTGTGGGCGTGGCTTGGTGGTCATGTGACTGGCTGGGCATGGCTTATATGTAAATATCATAAATATTTATATAAATATTGAATTTTTATATAAAAAAGAGCAACTTTTACCCAAAATCAGGCAAAGCAGGCAGCCAGATTGAGTTGCTCACAGAATCACAGATTCATTCAAAGATCTATCTACCTGCCATCAGCTAGCTCAGTCTGTCATATAAAATTCACAAAAAATTAACTCACAACGCACCATCTATGTAAATATTGAATTTTTTATAAAAAAGAGCAACTTTTACCCAAAATCAAGCAAAGCAGGGAGGCAGATTGAGTTGCTCACAGAATCATTCAGGGATCTATCTATCTGCCATCGGCTAGCTCAGTCTGTCACATAAAATTTGCTTGCTGTGAGTCTGCACTGAATAATAGAACCTTCAGTCCTAAGGAAGATTCAGCTGTGCTTAAAAACAGAGACGAAGATCTAAAGACTAGCTAGAAAGCAAGAAATCCAACCATTTCCTGCTTTCTAGCTAATCTAAATCTCCCGGCACAGCAGAACAGATGATGGTCAGGGGGGAAACAAAAAGGAAAAATAGCAATTTAGCAGGCAAGTTTGCCAGGTAAGAAGTGAATGGGTGGGGAGGGTTCCTGCAGGCCATATGGGTGGCGCAGCCTTGCGTTTCTGCACAGCCTGGATTAATTGCTTTGTGGGGGTGCTCTGGGGATGAGATTACTCTGCGGCCCACCAAAATTTTCTTGCGGCCCACCAATTGGCGACCGCTCATCTAGGATGCTCTTAATTTCCCAGTTGAAACTATGGTTAGGGAACCCTAGTGGCACAGTGGTTAGAATGCATATTGCAGGCAAATTCTGCCCACTGTCTGGAATTCGATCCCAACCAGCTCAAGGTTGATTCAGCCTTCCATCCTTCTGAGGTCAGTAAAATGAGGACCCAGATTGTTGAGATCAATATGCTGACATTTGTAAAGTATCCAGAGTGCTACAAAGGAGTATGTGGCAGTACGTAAGTCCAAGTGCTATTGCTATATGTTGTGAAATTTGCCGATTTCAAATTAAATATGCAAGACTATTTTAGTACAAATAATTACCTTCAAAACTGTCTCAAGTATGAAACGCTGCTGCTTTGCATTATGGATTCGAATAGAGCCACCTCCAATCTCATTACCATTCAATACCAGATCATAATGCTGACCTCTAACCTGGTGAGCAAAAAGAAGAAAACAAAGTAATTTGCATTGTTATGTATATCTGCCAAAATCCTTGTGAAACAGCAGATCCCACCCAATGGTGCTTTTGCAACTAATGGCAACTACACATCTGAAATTGACAAAAATAGAATAAATATTTTTGAACAAGTAAATTAAGAGGCCAAGAAAACCATAATATGTATAATCCTATTTTTTTCTGGCTCTGATTTTGTAGTACATCTTCTTCAGATAAGGTAGACTTCTTGTCCTTAGAAATAACACAGAAATAATTTTGCTTTTACCATCTTCCCAATTCTTCGTTTGCAGTGTCCTGCTTTGTATATTAAAAAACATAAAGGCACCTGACTGGGATCTGAGTAGAGAAGATGTTCGTCCAAAGGATGGGGAGCAGTGAAAGGATGATGAGCAGCTTCCAATTCTACAGGATTTTCTTCTTTTGGGAGGAAAAGTGGGAATTCTACCACCCAGAGGAAGTGAAAGGCAGAAGGATCACGAAATAACAGGCCTTTTGCTTCCAGAAGTTCAGCACTCTTCAAGCGTAGCTTTCCTAATGCAGAGCACTGAAAACAAATGAGAACAGAAGAGAAAGAAAACTTTCTACGAGGCCTCCTAGAAAGACCCAACACTTGCACCTATAACTCCAAGCAGTGTATTATTATCAGCTTGTAATTGTCAGAACCAGGGTTTTTTGAATATTTTTTTTAATACTGATTGAAAATGTAGTGATTATTAGTTATTTGCTAGAAGGTAATTTATTCAAGGAGGAATTAATGTTCAGTTTAGTAAAGAAGGAACAGCTCATCAGTGCAAAAATCAAGTATATATAGGTGATTTCTTGCTGGTCAAGATTTAATTTAAATTTAAACAAATAAATGAATTTTTATTTATTTTTGCTGGTGCCCAAACAAAGACTAAGGGCATCAATTTTCTACTTACCACCTTTTTGTGTTGGCCGGCAGCAAGCAACACCACATCCTCCATATTGGCCTCAACTGTTCTGATAAGCTCTGATTTTTGCTCTTCATTAAGGAATTTTCCAAGTGGGGACTTCATGGTGCCATCAGGTTTCAAAACCAAACATGATATAAACTATACAGGATGGAAAAGTAAATAAACAGCTCAGCACTTCTTGAAAAGAATTCAAATGAAACCAAAGAAGTTTAATTGCTTTAATTGTTCTTCTTCAATACATGGCAACAATTTTAAAATCCCATGAAACAATAGGTAACGAATAAAACTAACTAAACCCAAGAACTTTCTGGGAGGGAAAAGAACACCATTATATCTACTGACAATAGCCTGAATATGAAGGACCCTTGTCTAGTGTTAGGTATCAACTTTTCCACACAGAAAGAGCTGGAAAAACTCAACTTGAACCTAGAAATTTGCTAGTGTTGAAAATACTTAGATAGACCAATAGTCTGAATACAAAGCCACTTCTTATCCTTCTGTGAGAAAGAACAACGAGAAAAAGCAGTGATATAAGCATGAAGTCAAGCACTCTAAGATTTCTCCAACTACAGTAATGCTGCAGAAGAGACAGGCCGGCAAAGAGTCTCTGCTGATTTTGGAACTATAAGAATCCCTCCCATGAACTATAGATTTCAGTTTTGCGCGTGCGCACACACACTTTTTTTTTTTTTGAATAGGCAAAAAAGAGCTCTGTATCATGTACAGCATTCCCCCACCTCATGCAAATATTCATAGTGGCTCTGGTAGAGAGTATGCAATTTAAGCTGCTCACTTTTGTGGCTAAGAAATATACTTTCAAAAAGATTTAACCTCTTTCATTCTTTAATATAAGTAAAGTTGGTTTGTATAATGTAAGAGGGACTATAAAACAAAACTTATTGGATCCAATTAAAAGTCTATCTTGACCAAAATCTTCTTCACACAGTGGGCCAGCTTTCTCCTTTTATTTTAATCCAAATTAAACTAATTTAAAAGAACTAGAAATTCTCCCTGTCCCAGCCTCTTCAACTGATATGTAATGTGCAAGTTTAAATTTTATGTAGCCCAACATAAATTCCCAAAAGAAAATACTTCTTGTTTGTAACTATTTTTGCCATACCTGGTTAAATTGGGATTTTGACAATTCATTTAAGGACTCCAAATCTTTAAACTGTAATTTCTAGAGACAAAGATATATAAACACTAATAAATGGATTAAGTTTGTTATATTCTAACTGATACTGCTATATATTTCCTCATTATTTTAACATCAAATCTTTTGTTTCAGAATCAAGCTTAAATTAAAAAAATGCTTTCAGATTATATTTTCAGTTTTAGAAAGGAATCATGAACAAAAATGAATTAATTACAACAATGATATATAGAGAAAAACTCCCTCCCAAAAGATATAAAAATCTAAGGAAAATAAACTTAAAACAAATTAAGTTTGATTTCTTTGTTTTCTATCATTCTCAATGATGCAATTAAAAATAATCTCTAAACAGGTACTAAGATTCTATTAATAAACATAAATAAAACAGTGATGGTCAGATTCGATTCTTGCTAATTATCGTCATGAGATAAAAGGAATCAATTTTGATGCGCTATAAACTTGCATTTTAATCATATTTTAGTGCCTCTACAATTACAAATACAGGATTGACATTAAATTCCACAGTAAGGAAAAACAGTTTTCCTGTTTCCTAACTGTAGCATCAGCTGGCAAAAGCGTCCATTGACAAGTCTCTGTTTGCGTGCAACTCCTCCACATTTGGCATTCAATTTGTGAACACTAATAGGGCAACAGTGAATTAAGAATCTAAACTCAACCCAATGTTGAATACCTGAACTCAAATTAATGCTTTGATATAATCATTATTTCTCACTTTTAATCTACTTCACAGTTGTTGTAAATGATTTCATATTGAGAGAACAATGTAAATAACAAGTGTACAGAATGTAAGCATTCTTAATAAATCAAAGGATGAAAGGCTGAATTTAAAAGACTCACCAAATGTGGCTGACAGATCATAAGTGGGATACACCTTCAATAAATGTATCCCTTTTACTTTTTAGTATTTGACTGAAGAACAAAATTTGGAATTACACCAGCACTCACTTTTGTATATGGTCTTATAGTGTGTGTGGAAGAAGTAGGAAAGAAAAACTGCATTGATAAAATAAGATGCAGCCTTTCCTTGGCCTTCTTCCAACATCCTTTTTTCTCACTAGAAATCTGGACTGGCTTCTATATTTTGCACAACTCCCTCATTTTGACCCATAGATTGAAAGTTAAAGATTTTTTTCTTTCTTTCAGTACTTCTTTTTACCACTGGGGTGCCGTGGCTCATTCCACACAAAAGGGTGAGCTCCCGTTACTTGCCACAGTTCTTGCTCACCAAGCAGATTGAAAGCATGCAAATGTGAATAGATGAATAAGTACCACCCCCAGTGGGAATGTAACAATGTTCCGTGTACCTTTGTTGTATAGCCATGCAGACACATGAACATGAAAATTGTCTTTGGACAATACTGGCTCCCTTGGCCAAGAAACCATAAGGGCGTGACTGACAGGAAAACCTTTACCTTTTTACTTCTTTCTACAAGGACATCTATCTCACACATCACCATTCTTCCTATTCACTAACTACTGAGTTTGCCAAATCTCCATAAGCTTGCTTTGTTTTATTCAGTATTATTTTAATTTCAAGGTACAAAGCAATATATTAATGTATTCCTATTTTTAATAAATAGATCTTACAGAAACCAGTTTGATTTCTCCTAAAAAGATAAAAGTTTGCTTTTTTAATCATCTACTTATATGCAAGAAAGAGAGAGAGAGATCATATTTGTAGGGCTCATCATAGAAATAACAGCTTGATAAATGACAGCATCCAAGATAAAGAACATTTCCACAAATAGCCTCACTCACCGCTCCCTGGGGAATGCAAATGGCTTTCACTGTACCATGGGGCTCCCTGAGAGAGTTCTGCAAAAAGCCAACATCTACATTCCTAAGAATGTGACTTACATCAACGATCTGACATTGGAAGAAAAGATATAAATACCGTAATTGTGACAACAGAAAATGACTGGAAAAGAATTAGGGGAAGGGAAAGTTTCAAACGCAACTAAAAAAGGGCTCAGTTTTACATTCTATATTCATCAGCTGTTGAATTTTGCTCAAGACATTGGGACAGCTGCCACTACAACCCGTTGTGAATGGAACAGAGCTTTGGACTGAATTCTCATAGCATGGCTGTGTTAATTTATGGTAGCCAATAAAACAGTGCTTTAATTTCAGGAAAGGTGGATTCCCCCACCCCTCCTTTTCCAATTTAACAAAAACAGTCTGCGGTGCAAGAAACATTTGGGGTATCTTAAAGAAAACAGTTGTGATTGACACAAGTTTTTGTAACTCAATACATTGGTACCTTGGTACTCAAATTCTTTGAAACTCATCAAATTTGTTACCCAGCACATTTTGACATGAAAGTTTTGTCCTGGTACTCATCATTGTTTGCTTAATGCACAAGCTGGAATGCCTTGGGTATTAGCTGCCTTGTGACTCACTACATTATTCCTTATAGGAAAAATCTGTTTGGTACTCATCATGCATCCCAGAACCAATTAACAATGAATACTGAGATACCACTATTATCAAATGTGGCAAGTGTAGTGCAATAAGAACTATGAAAATTACTGCTTTAAAACATAGCAGAGATCACCATATTTTCTGGGCTCATTCACACAAATTAAAAGATATTTTGATAAACAAAATTTATCAAAATATCCACAAATCCCATTACAGTTAACAGGCCTTCGACATAGCAGTGGGGGTATGGCAGTCAAGCAAATGTTTAATTTTGGTAAATGAACATGCCTTCATTCCAAAACGAGTATCAGGTTTATCAGTCCCATAAGTGGATAGCGCCTCATCATAGGTGATTGAAGGGAAGGGTATTTTGATAAGCCCCTTTTCCTTAGGCCAGGAATACTGCAGCATGCCCTCAATTAAAGCCAGAATTCCATCTTGGTCCACGAATGACATTTCAATATCTATCTTTGGGGTGGGGTGGGGAATAAGCAAGAGATTTTTTTAAAAATAAGGCATATAAATATCACAATTATTCTACTTAACATTTTTGCAAAAGATATATTTCTTTGAAAATCCATTTTAGAAGGGCTACAATTCTAGAGAACAGTCAGAATATAAGGCTTACAGTACCCATTTCATTTCTACATGCTCAGATTCTGGAGCTGTATGTTAGTTTCATTGTTTTTTAGTCTGATTTCTTTGTCTAGTTACTATTTATTACAGAAGATATATTGCAGATGTTATTAGATGAAATGAATTCTATTGCACACAAACTAGTCCTAACAATTTTGCAAATGTAGATTAGTTTTAAAACACACAAAGTATCTTCGAGCAACTCTTTGCCATATCCTCCCATCAACCCCATTTATAAAATAATTACTAATATCCATATATTTTTAAATTATATTTTTAGTGCTCTTGGTGGAGATTTTGACACATTTTATTTTTTAATTCTTAGTAGTTTATTGATACACACAACACATTCCATAAAGTCAGATTTCATTTACATAGGTCACAAGGGCAGCATATAAATCTAATAAGTAAGCACACTGCATGCCACTTTGGGGAATTTGGCATTCCATTTGCAAAAATGGTTGTCAGTACTAGACCACAGAAATGAAATAATATGTTCACTGTAATGTCAAAACAGAAATATCTCTCAACAGTGGAACAAATGACACTTCTCCATTTTCCATCACTACTCAATGTTATTTGCTTTGTATACAGAATGATAAAACTGAATCACAGAACAGTATTTTGGTCAGTGCTGCAAGTAACAACAGTGAGATGACAAGTATTTAGTTCCCAATTATTTTGCATTGTTATTACATACTCAGATTTTCCTCTTCCAAAGCCACTAAACGCCCAACTCCTAAATGGATGGTAATCCTTGTAGTTACAAGCAACAACAATGCCCATTTAATTTTATTTAATCTTATTCCAAATAAAAATAAATTACCTGAGTGAATTCAGGCTGTCTGTCTGGCTTTGAACCTTCATCTCTGTAACAGCGGGCAACTTGGAAATACCTGCCATTAGAAAATTACATTCTGGTTGCAGAGTATCTTTCTCAAGTAGCATGATCTCTTAAAACAGGGGGGGTTGGAAAGAATATAATCTGAAAAAATTGCTATTATTTGAATTTAAAACAGAATAAACATTTGTTCCATATTTAGGAATTGGTTAATGCTATAGGCACAGAAAAGAAGCTGTGTGGGGAACTGCAAAGAAAAAGTTTATATGCTTGACATACTGAAAGACCTTCTGCACACTTTGAATTGGCTATGAGTGGACAAAACATTATCTGCACTGCCAGAAAAGGGACAGTCAGAAGAGACTTTATTCTTGCTAAATCTGATTTTTTTCATACACATTTCTTTCTTTCACAATAACTGCAAACCATCCAAGCCTTTGAGAATCTGGATAGCGCCCAACAACACAAAAAGAAAATATAATTTATAAGGAATGAATTAATCACTAAATGAGCACCCATAATCATCTTGAGGCAAAGGCGTAAGTGTTTTTAATACCCATACAAAATGCTAGTATGACTGCAGATAAATTTATCTCCAGAGGAAATGTGTTTTAGAGTAGAGGGCATTACAAGAAAGGCCTGCTCTCCAGCCTATATTATACCTCATATATAAACCTATATATTTTCTGTGGTGGAATGTTCGAGGTGATGAGAAGACATGTGCAGATTCCAATTTGGTCAGGTGTTTCTTGATATAAAATCTGGGACCACCTCATGTAAGATTATAAAGGTGGTAAACAGCATTATAAATTAGGCTTGCAAGACTATCAGTGATCTGGCCCCTGCCCAAGTTTCCACCTGCCATGTAAGCAAGGGCTATGAGCACCCTTACATCACAAACCAATCCCTTTAGAGAAATCACCTCATCTACAGTAATTATTAGGAACAATATACTGGATGTTTATTTACAAATAGTAACTGCATCTTAGTAAGCTTTAGCCCATCCACACCTTGACAGCCTGGTTTAGACTTTCTACTGCATCTCCAGCTCAGTCTAAGGTGGAAATGTGCAAGTGACTTTAAATAATATGAGGGGAAACTGATACTGGAGCAACCAAGGGAGTGAGTGCTGTCTCTCTCACATGCATATCGACTATTGACTGGAACCATCCATTCAAGTAGAAGCAGAATCACCACAAAATGGTGCCAACTCTCAATCCTTGCATGTTTTATATATGCCATGATTCAGCAACCTAGTTCTCCATCTCATAAATAAGATTGTGGTCACAGACGGCACAGTACAGAAAATCTTTGCAAGAAGATTTCAAGCATGTGTATCTTCTAGGCAGACATAGAGAGTCATTCTTAGCATGGAACTTGATTAATTGGCAAATGATCAGTTTGTGTGACAAACTGTGACTCAATCTATCCATTATCCTTTCACCAGACAGCAAATCAGAGTTTTAGTGCTACCTTTAAAACATTATTGTGCTGGTGCGGCCCCAAGAAGCTCACCTGTCCAGACCTCCTACCATTAGGAGCTGTTTAAACTGCTGAGGGCTCTGAGGAAGTGAGTAGAACTTTCCAGCCTCCCGGGAAGGCACCACAAATTCTTTTGCACCCTGATAGTAAAGGGAGAATGTAATTTAAAGCTGGAATTACATTGCCTTTAGATGAAAACCAAAATGAAGAAACTTCTAGTTTGAGTACAAACTATTTCAGCCAAACCTCTCTTGAAAAAATTAATCCACTACCCATTGCCTTTAATCAGAAAGTGCAATGATGCACCATTTCCCCAAATATATCTCCTACACTGTATTTTATTTACACCCCCAACATTTCTGGCTCCATGGATCAGCAGCAGCGGTGGCAGGTGGAGAGGGAATGGTTTTGCATGTGCAACCTAGCTCCCACCCATGCATAAATGAAGCTTTGTGCACTTGCTCACTGCTTGTGGGCCAGCAGGTGGTGGGCCGGTACTGGTCCATGGTCCAGGGGTTGGGGACCCCTGATTTACATGATCATGCACACTTCTACTCAGTTCTCATGTGAGAAATTAACAAAAGTTCTTGAAGCAATAGTAAGAAGACGTAGGTTACTGCTTTTCAAGATAACCTATACATGTACATACACACATACAGTATACATATATAGTACATATACTGTATACACACACAGAAGCACAAATTTATACATATAGATGTATCTGATATATATATATATATATATATATATATCAGTAACTAATGTATTAATGAAGGTTTTGGTTTCAGAAAATAATGCTTAGCAACCATTATGTTAACAACTCTTTGTCAAAGAAGCTTTAAAGAAATTTCTGTGTATCTTTTTTGTTTCTTTTCTATTTTTTCCATCCCTTGCATTTTTAGCTTTTTCTTGCTTTCTTTATATTAGTTTGTATTACTTTTTATCTTCCTTTTAAAAAGTTTTAATAAGTTATTTAATATAAAAAAATATCCTCCATCACCTAATTTCATAACAAAATTAAAATTCTGAGTATACCAAGCAAAATCTCCAAAGTTGTCTAGATTCTATTGTTCTCTAAGTAACCTTTAGTGCAAAGGGAAATACCACTGTCAGTCTAAACAAAGGCTGACTGAGACAACTGCCATCCAATTTCAAATCATAAGCTTCCTATTTGTAATGCATTGGGCCAGAAAAATCCTTGAAGTAGCCATGGCAGTTATAACGTTGTGAGCTGGTGAATTCAATATGAATGCTGACACGAAATATCTCCCCCACATCCTGCCTTAGAAAAGAAGTCTTCTTTTAGATGTTTGGGCTACATGATGTAATTACTTTCTGATACTTGATAATTTTATAACAATGTAAGTACAGAAAAGATGCCTTTGCATACTTACTCCTGGTGTTTTCTTAAATAGTGTTGGAGTTTCTACATCCACAAAATCTAAAATAAGATTTGATAAATTTTGTCAGCACCACAGTAAGTGAAAGGAGAAAAAAAAGTTAACTGTTAACAATTTTGTTTCTCTAACCGTAACAATTACAGAGATACTCTCGCATTCTCATCACCACCTGGGATCTCAGCCGGAGATTATACTGCATCTGAATGCTTCTTAAGTCCAAATAGCGATACTGCATTCGCAGTGCTTCAGTTTTCTGAGAGGAGGAAAAGAATGTTTTTTATAAAGAAAAAACAGCAATTATACATCCTATAACCAACACGAAGCACAAAATATTGTTACCTAAATTAAAAACATAAGCAAATTTTTATACCAAACCATTATTTTTCACTCACTTCTTCCAATTCATATCTTATCTACTATTGTTTCCTAGATCCATTTTTCCCCTATTTTTGAAGATGGAAACCATATCAACTCTTTTCTAGTCCTCTGAGTTCCCTTGCGCTCCAGGATTTTTGAAAGATATGATCCAGTGATTCCAAAATCACATCTGCCAGGATTTTAGAACTCTGGGATGTAATCCATTTGGTTTGGTGATTTAAACTTGTCTAGAGTGGATAGGTGTTACCTTATACCTATCTTTTTTGTTTTCCAGTTTATCAGGGAGTTCTTTATACAACATGGCTCAGATTCTTCTAGGATCTTTTATTTTTATTTTTCAGCGATAGTGTGTTTAGCTAGACTTCGATAATCTCATTTTATAGAGTTTCCTAAGCTTCTTGAGTTGTTTTCCCCTTAAAGATTTTCATTCATGAAATTCTTCCCAAGTTCCAAAGTTTGTTGAAATCACTCTCTTAAAGTTTAAGACATTAGTCTGACTTTGTTCTGTTACTTGTGCCGGCATTATCCAATTATCCATACTCACTTTTCACCAACATTCCCGTAAGTTCAACAACCTCTATCATTTAATCTCTCTTAGGGAGAATTAAGTCAAATGTAGCTGACATTTCCTTTCTTTCCCTACATTCTAGCAGTTCCTTTTTCTTTCTACCTTTTGGGAGTCAAAATTGTTTGCTAGGTTCATTAGGAACCTGTTTGATCTCCCACCAACTGCATTTTGTCTCCTGGATGATGCCAGAATAGTTAAAGATCCCCGTTACTATTCTGTATTATATTTGTATTGTGTTATATTGTATTGTTCTGTTGTTTTGTATTACTACAAAGTTCACCTCATTCTGATTCATAGTAAAAATGCATGGGCACTTTTATTAAAGGGTCAGTTTTCAAGGATAGCAATTTAAACTTTTGTACCATATTCTATCAAACGTGGCAAATTTCATCCCTCCTAGATCCAAATCACTTTGGAATCTCTCTGGATGTTATTTTATCTGAAACCCTGAACAATCCAAACATTCTGGGTTTTGTTTGTGCTGAACAGCAGCTAGTTCTGCAGAATTTCCAGAATGTGGTGGTTTGTTTTGGATTTGAAGCAAAATACATTCTCCATTTTGCGTGCATCCCTATTGTTTTATTTAGAGAGGAAATAGAAGGGTTAAAAAGAACAGATGTGCAAGAATTCCCAAAGTATGCTGTCCCAAATATTCCATTAGGCAGAAATAGCACACTAAACAGAAATAAGAAAGGTATACCTTGGTGAAATCTTTTATTTCAAATGGTAGTTTCTTACAGTAGTTCAGAACCTCTGCAGTTTCTGCTTTTACTTCAATATCTCCAGTTTGCATCCTCTAAATAAATTGAAAGTGATAACTTTAATTAAAAAAATAACAGCTCTATTGATTGTGCCCAGAAAATAGATTCATTGCAGGTTTTTTTTTAAACCAGATGGTGTGGTGATAAGATAATTTAGCTTGGCAAAATTTTATTTCCACTTCCCCTTCACAAACTTGGATTTTGAGGGACCAGGAGTATCTTTCAGTTTCATAGACCAAGAGCTCCTGAATCTCAAGTCAACATCTCACTGTTTACCCATTTCAACTCACAACTTAATGGGCCAGGCAAGAGCGGGCTTGGGGAAAGGAAAAAAAGCATGGTCTTCCTGGTTTATCTGAATAGCTAATTATCATAACAATTTTTGCAGTATTGTCAGGACTTTGCAGAGAACAACAAGAAAAGATCTCTGCCCTGAAGATAGATTTATCAGATTACTAGCCAGGCACAGCTATCAATCTTTATTTTTTGAAAATTTCAATCCTATAGACAAGAACAGAAACTTCAAGGGCTTACTGTTGTAAAACAAGTTGCTTTACTGCAGATTAGAAAGACTCCATATATACACAGATCTGCCTGTTGCGAAGCATAGAAATCAACCTATCTGGGAAATGAGAGTGCATGGAAAGAGTGGGATTTGAGGAGAGATGTGAAGAAAGCATAAAAAGTATCGTGCAGCTGTATTGCCTGGAAATTCCAAGCACAGAAGACATTAAGCCAGAAACTGTGTAGTCTTTTTGAGAGGGCAGAGGACTTTTACAGGGCTGAACTGAAGAAAGATACTTCCAAACCAAACAGCTGCCAAGAAGAAAAGGATCATTCTGCAGCTACCATAATGAACAGCTGGACACCTCCAGGACACTTACACAGCAAATGAAAATGTGCAAATTTATTCTCAGTAGGTATAGCTTTTAGAAAATCATTTTGGTAGCCCAAAGCAATAAACTGAACTTACTTAAAAGCAGGGGGCTCCTCCTTAAAATACTTACAGGATTTGCCTGTCCAGGAGGCCGGGGAATAACAATCCCAGTCACTCGCACAACAGACTCAACTGGAGCATCAGAAAAGAGCTTCCTCAAATGGGAAGCAGCCTGCAGTGCAAGAAATAGACAAATCAGAATATGCATTATTAAAATACATTATGCCTGGTGGTTATCAGCCCACTTCAAGTCTGGCAATTAAATGGCACCTGAAAGCCCTCCCTTTGTCTTTTAATTCATTTTATCATTTTTTTAAACACCTTGCCTCTTTTTAAATTGTAACTTCTATGTATTGTTTTTATATTTAATATTTTATTGGCCACCACCCAGTCTCTCTCTCTCTGAAGGAGATGGGTGGTTCCAAAATGTGTTAAGTAAATAATAAATTTTATCTGTTAAAGTGTTTATTGAGATAGCCAAAATATTGCAGAAGTTAAGGTGTCAGACTAGGAGCAGAGAGAACCAGGTTCAAGTCTAACCTTAGCTGTAGAAACCAATTCTCTTTCAGCTCAATCTATCTCACCAGGTTGTTAGTGAGAAAAAAATGTTATATATGATGTCACAAGCTCTAAATAAAAGGTGAGATAGAAATCTTTTTTGTTTGAAACATTAATTCCAATGAACTTTTCTGGATCAGAACGAATTCTATCTCATCCAAAATTCTTTACAAAAAGATTACATCAAGTAGCAGTTGGTAAGAATAAAATTGAAATGCTAATGTGGAAATTAAGATTTTTTGATGGAGAAAGATACTTCAGATATGCTTTGGAATATTCTTTATTTCCTTGTAGATTGTAGGACTGAACTTTAAAAAATGTTATGAAAAACTATAAGCTGTGCATACAGGTATGGATATCTATAATATTATCTGTTACAATAAGGAGTGTGCACTGAAACGTCACAACTCTTTTCTAAATAATAAAATTTCATTCAAGAGCCTAATTTAATTTCAGTATAAACTTTAAAAGTATGCTTACCTAAATGAATTATATACAAACTGTAACTTAAAAAAGAGCAAAATAAAAATTCCAGTAACTTAAGTTCTATATAAAGCAATTTTCCATTTTCTTCAATATCTGATCAAATAACACCCAGTTCCCCATTTTAATATTTACCTAAATATAAAAATTAAAGAAATCCTCATGTGCATTGAAAGTCTATCAGAGTGTTCTAGAGAGACTGAGTTCCTTATCTACTAAAAGTTACACATCTTTAGAAAAGAAAAGATTCACTCAATTAAAATTATTAAAATATTACATATTTTGAACCAGCAAATTAGAGATTATAAAACTAGCTCTAGCAATCTTTTGAGTTAGGAATAATCTGAGAGCACAGCTATGAAAATTAAAAATTTAGCAGTAATCCAGGAAGTCTCCTTATTAGTACTCCAAATCAGTGTGGCTTGAACATTACAGATGATCCTCAACATATAACAGAAACCAAAACCAGAACTTCCATTGCTTAGTGATGAAGTTGTAAAGCGCAATTGCAACACTTAGCAACAGCAATCCCTGCAATCCCAATTGTGGTGTTAGCTGAATCCCAGTCATCAGGTGAGAGGCAACTTCATGTTGACTTCCCACAACCAAGTGAGGAGTTACCTGAGAGACAAGGGTAGGGGAAAAAGGTTGGGAAGGGTCCAGTAGAGTGCAGAGGTGGGTGTGGTAAGGGGTGCAGTAAGGGGTGTGTAGGAGGCACGGCAAGAGTTGGGGAGGCTGTGTGAGAAGCACAGCAAGAGGAAGCAGAACGAGGTTCAGAAAGGGTGTACTAGAGATGCAATGAAGCTCAGGGAGGATGTATGAGGGAGGCACATTTGAGGTTTGGGGTGGGTGCGCAGGTTCGGGAGACTAACCCCAGCAACTTGTGATTTTCCCTGCCAGCTTCCCCACTAAATTTCTGATTCAGGTGAACTCAGGACGCTTATAAGCGTGAGCCGATTGCCAAGTGCCCAGATTGCTGGAATTCTGATTGAGGACTAGATGTAACTATCATTTGTACCAGTGCTGTCTACTTTTGAATGGTTGCTGATTAAATGGTTGTAAGCCAAGGACTATCTATATATTTATTTCGATGCAATGTTCGTTGGCTTCCTAGCAAAAAGCTACAAAAGCAGTTTTCAATAGTACTTACCTCAACCTGAGGTATGAGTATCTGTGTAAGTCCTTGGAAATCTCTCAAAACCACAAACTGTTCATGTCTAATGATGGGAGACACAGATGTGTAGACATGTCAATAACACTTCAGATTCAGCATGGAACTCATGAATATGCAGTGCAGAATTCTCCAAGAACATCTACTGTAAATAATGCCTAGTCACAGAACAGCTTTGAGCCTGGGGACAGCTCAACTAGACACTTTTACGTGACACATAAGTGTTTCACATGCAAGAAGACTTTGATAGTACGAACATTCAAAGATGTAGTATCTGAACATTACTTTTAACTTAAGAATTTGATCCTGGTCCTAATTCATTTAAGTTCTTTCGTTCTCTTTCTCTCTTCCTCCCTGTGTGTGTGTGTGTGTTTCAAATTTCTTAATCATCAACCTCCCTTACAGATTTTTCTATAGGCATAAGAATTAGTATAAAGAAAACTATTTCTTAAGAATAGATCATTGCACGTTGACATGGCAGTTCCATTTTCTATGCACATAGCAAAAATGGAGCAATATATTCTTGTACAATCAGACATACATGTCACATGGAAGTATATATACTTTGAAAGTTTTTTCTTTTGCTACATTTGCGGACATACCAGTATTTTATTTTCATTTAAATGGTCACATAAAGATGATGAAATTGAACAAAAAATATAAAAGTTGACTTTCAATCATTTATCCAACAAAAACAGATTTGTTATTTCCTTCTATGGAAAAAATAAGTACACCCTTAATTCTAATAACTGGTTTTGTCCCCTTTGGCAGAAACAACCACATGTAGGCCTTTTTCATATCTACCGGTCTCTGACATTGACTGGAATCAACTCACAACATCTTGATGGAATTTATGTAGATCTTTTGACTTGACCATTTCAGAACCCCCCATTTCTTTTTTAACCAATCCTTGGTGGATTTACCAGAATGTTGGGGTCATTGTCATGTTGCAAAGCCCATTGTCTAATGAGCTTCAAACTTTTAACATTACACTTCAGTATCCTTAGGTATAATGAAGAATTTGTAGTAATTTCTATGATGGTGTACTATCCAAAACAGCCCCAAACCATAACATTTCCACCACGGTGCTTTAAGGAGAGTGCACAAAAGGCACCCTGCAGATCTGGGAGGATGTACAGAGATGTGTGGCATGGTCAGGGCGAGTGCATGAGAGATGCAGGTGAATGAAGGTGTCCAAAGGGTGTTTGTAAAAGATGTTGAGGAGGGTGTGAGCAGGTGCACAAAAAGTGTATTGCAAGTTGAGAAGAGTGCACTGAGGTGTGCAAGAGGTGGAGTGCCAGTTGGAAAAGGTGCACGAGCAGCGTAGCGCCAGTCAGAAAGGGTGCATGAGAAGTGACACGTGGTCACAAGGGCATGGTGCTGGTTGGGAAGGGTGCATGGAGGTGTGCAAGCAGTTGTCGCCATGCAAGGGCAGAAGGGCTGGGGGAGAGTGTGTAAGTGGGGGAAACATCCTAGGGACTTGTGACCCTCTCTGCTTTCCCCACTGACCTTCTAGGGAAGCCAGCAGAGAAAGTTGTAAATGGCAATCACATGATCATAGGGCACTTGGCAATCTGTCATAGGTGCAAATAGGTTGTCAAGCACCTAGATTGCAACCATGTGATTGCAGCAGTGTGGGGATGTCTGGAACACTGAAGACCAAATGTAACCACCATTTGTTCAGCACTGTCATAACTTGGAACAGTTGACCACTGTAGGTTAACATTTTTGTAAGTTTAGCACTACCTCTATGTGTTCTGTGGAAACAGAAACAAGACACCAGACTATATTTGTATATCCCAGACCCTGATGTAGTAAGGCAAACCATTATTTTAATCTTTTCTTTAGCATCAGCAATTTTCAATTTACCTCTTATATTGAATCCATCCACACAGAGTGACCTCTTGACCTACATGAGCTAATCGCAACTCCCCACAGGTTTTGGACCGGGCAACAAAGCTATTGACATCTTGGGATAAAATTTTGTTAATTCATAAAATGTACAAACAAATTTTTATTCAATCCAACAAAATTATTAGGACAAGTAATAAAGTTATGAGTTATCAACAAATATGATATCAAAGCTTCATTCAACAGATTTATATCATAATTAGGGATGGTACACGAGAAATGCAGTGTAAGCCAGGGAGACAGGCGTGAGGGAATGAGAGGTGTGGCAGAGGTTGAAAGCTCACCCCTATTGGAAATGATATGAAAAACAAAGAAATTCCAAAAAGTAGTACATGTTTTCATTCTTGATTATATTAAGGTTTTTGACTATGTAGTTCAAAACACTTTGCAGCTAGCCCTGTAATGGGCTACTTCATTTGCCTATGGAACAATTTGTATAACTGACCAGGAAGCAACAATTAGAATGTTTCAGAATTGACAAGAACATGAACAAGGCTTGTTAAACTAATATGCAGAAAATATCATGAGAAATGAGGAGGAAGAAAAATAGAAATGTGAATTAAAAGTTTTGGGAGTAACATCAATATCACTGGAATCAAATGATGATACTGCTTTGTTGGCTGGAAATGAAGAAGATTTGAGATACCTTTAACCGAAATGAAAGAAGTGTGCAAAAGCCAGTCTACTGATCAATATTAAAACAACTGTCTAAATATTATGTCAACAAGCAAGGTTAAGGCACCGCAAATAGGTGCAGAAAGAGTTGAAGTACTCAGCAATTCACAGGGAAGACGACTGTAGTTATGAAATAAAGACCTTTTTGGAATAAAGGCTATGACAAATCTAATAAAAATATTAAAGCACTGAGACAACACAGTGAAATGAAGGAAAATGTCAAAATATGCTTTTCCCAGTTATAACATAGCTGTGAAAGCCAGATTATCCAAAAAGCTGAATGAAATAAAAATAACTTGCTTTTGAATTACTGTGCTGGAGAAAAAGGTTATGGGTATTATTTTTGCAAGACAAAAATAACCAATAGAACCAGGCTCCTCACTGGAAATTGGTAATGAAACCAAACTTTAAATGTTGCAGACTCATAACATACAAGCAAGTGAAATGATGGAAAAAAATGGAAGGCAATTTAAAAAGAGAGAGATAAAAGAACCAGGGGCTTATATATTATTGTTGATGGCACAAGCACGAGCTTATAAAATTTCGAAGAGCAGTAACCAAAAAATGATGTTGAAATATTGATCATCTCATCAAAAAACCAGAGAGTATGAACAACTTCATTTCAATACCAATACCATAGTTTTCAACAGTCACTATACTGCAGTGGTGGGCTACCGCCATCTCCTGAGATTTGTGTGTTACTTCCCAATCTATAGATTTAGGATCTGTTGGGGATTGGAAACACATCCAAACCAGCAACGTAATTCCAGCAGAGTTATGATGTTCTATTTAGGGAGGGAGGGAGAGAGAGAGTCCCTTGGTTTCGTTCAGGCCAGTCGGACATTAAGAAAGCAGCTTCTCTTCCCCTTCCCTGCTACCCCAGGATGTCACAGACCTGGGAGGGTCGCGCCCGTTCTGAACGACGCCCATCTGCAAGAAGCAAGCCTGCCGCACGGCTTCGCTCTTCCTCCGGGGAATAATAGCTTCAGGGGACGATAAAGGACATGTAGCCGACGCATGGTCTTGGCCAGTAAATCAAGACACCGGCCAATATATAAGACAAGAAGGGAAGAAACGACCAGGCTTCAGCCCACAAGCCCCGCTTCAGAGACGCAGTTCCTCAGTCATACGAACCGAGCTCCCGCGGTCACTTCAGCGGCAAGCATTACTTTGGGCACGGGGCACTTCCTCGGTTCCACGCCCGAATCAAATATGGCAGCAAATCAGGGGACTGAACCTCCAGCTCGCGCCGTAAACCGCTAACCCGCACTTCAAAGCATGCGCACAACAATCCCCATCGCCGAACTGGCTGTCGGGAGATAGTTTTTTTTCCCTTTTTTTCAAAAAGAAATCGCCCGCCTCGGTTTTAAGTGTTGCTGGCTTCTTTTTCTCTCAAAGATTAGGGAGCGATGTCTTCCCGGCGGTTGTCGACGGCCCGCGACCGCCGAAGGGTAAGAACAAGGCCTGCGGGTGTTACGGTTTTCTAAGACGCCGCCGATAGGAATCTTTTGAGGGGTAACTGCGGGAAGTCCTTACCCAAACTTGGGGTCCTCCACGTGACCGTCGTAAGAATGGTTAAGCCACCCAATTTTTTGGCTTCCCACGACATGATGAAACAGGGGTGTGCCTTGTGTTTTTTATTTTTATGCTGGTCTTTTGGCGATTATAAAGCTGCCGCCTGTTTGACAACTCATTTCTCCAGTCCAATAAAGGTGGTTCTCCGGAAACAGCTATGATTCTTTATTTTCAGATTTTTAATGGACGATTCAACAAAATTCCCTTAGATAATTCAGATGGATTTATCCTTCACTTGATAGCAATAGCATTTAGATGTATATACCACTTCACAATGCTTGTACAGCCCTCTCAAAGTGGTTTATTGCCCCCCAACAACCTGGGCTCCCATTTTACCGACCTCGGAAGGCTTGAGCCTGGTCAGATTCGAACTCCTTGCAATGAACAGTGAGTTAGCCTGCATTCTGACTACTGCATCACCACTGCCTATCTTTTAAGAAGTGTGATGATGTTCTTTTCTAATGATATTTTAAAAAGGAACATCTTTCTTCTTGGCTTACATGCTCCATATTATTTTGAAGAACTTCATTCTCACCCCCTTTAACAGATAAAAGAAGCTTTACGATCATAATCACCAAAGTTACATATAGTGATTATGAAGGTATACAAGAAACTGACCAGATTTGTACAATACACTAGTGTATGCTAAAAGATAGTTCGCTATTTTCTGATTCGTATGTTATGTTGGTACACTATATCTATGAGATGAGATTTTCTTATTTTGTGTAACATATGTTTGTCTAATGATAATCTGTTTACAGGATGCTACCGGTAGCACTTCTAATTTTAGGAGAATGAAAACTGTTGGAAGAGCAATTACAAACTATGAAGCAAACCTTACAAATACTGCCTATCTTTCAAGAGGTATGCCATCCATCAAGGAAAGAAAGTTATTTGGTCAGACTCCAGCTAAGATAAAGATTTCACAGAATCCCGATCTTCAGGTAAGGAACAATGAAGAGTGTAACTGAGTATAGTGTAACTGGCAACATGTTTGAAGAGGAAGCAGCTTTTAAAAACTAAGCAATTTAAATTATTTAAATTTAAAGGGCAGGCATCTACAAATTTACTCATCAGGACAAGTATTCCCTGGAGTTGAAGGGTTGGCTGCTGAACATGATATGATAAAAGTAAAACAAGTATGGAAATAATAATAAATAAAAATGTTTAGTGCATAATTTGACAGAGCAAAGAGAATATGACAAAAATGAATAATGTCTGGTTGGTTGATTTACATAAATATAAATGTGTAGGAAATAATTCTAGTGATATTAATATATATGCAGTTGGCTGAGAGCCTGAATGATGTGCAGCAAATTATATTGATGATGCAACAAATAAAATTAATATATCAAACATGAGGATAGTTGTGTAGAAAGATGAAGTGACAAGATATTCATTTAAAGTTTTTGAATCCTTTTGAACTTTCAATATTTCTGCATAATTATGACCTAAAAGTAGTCATATCAACTGTTCTCCACTCAATTCTAAAATCTAGATAAAGAACCCAATTATACCAACAAATCACAAACATTATACTTGTTCATTTATTAATGAATATGATCTTCAAATATTAAAAAGCTGGGTTCACAAACTTTTAATCAACTCTGTATATAAATTGTGAAAAATTAAAGATGTAGGTAAGAATCAGTGGCAAACCCATCTGAAAAGCCTGGCAAGAAAACTACAGGGACTTGTCTAGGCAGTCATCCACAGTCCAAAACTGACTTGAAGGCAAGCAGTCAATCAACTGAATGTGGGTTGAATATAGATATTAGGGTTCGGGTTAGTTAAAAGGGCTGATGTTACTTAGATTATATGGAGAAAATTAATGACAACTGAATAACATAACAACTGAAGAAAGTGGGAAATAGGCTGAGAGGAAGAGAATGCTTGAGGAAATTGTGCTTAGATGAAGTTGGTGAACCCTCAAGAAAATATTGGAAGTACAATAGGCAATGTATGAGGTGATTGAACGACATGGAAGCAAGGATGGTTTGCAAGATTAAAAAGGCATGCAAAAATATTGTATTGATGTAAGCTACTTTTAACTGCTCCTTTTCTTTTTTTCTCATCTCAGGTCTTTAGCTTCTTTGGTTTAAGTAATTGTATTTCTCTTTTTGGGCTTCCTTTAACATTGCTTTCTAGAAAAGGAATGGTGAATCATAATTTACAGTATGCAAATTTTAAAAATTGTGACTTAGAATGCTATGTAAATCCAGTCTATATATGTAAAATGTTCACTAAAATATTAGTAATGTAACATGTACTTGATGTGTAAACATATTTGCAAAAATATTTATGTATATGTACAAATATTTACTAAATATACTACCTGCTTTTGATATTATTTTATACCTCTATATAAAAGCAAAATACCACTCATGCATCATCACAAAATTTCCAGAGCCGTAAAGCCTACAAATTTTAAATTTGGCACGTATGTTCCTCTTGGCTTCTAGGTGCTCACTAAGAAAGGATTTTTCAAAATGACCACCAGAGCATTAGTATTTCATATATTAACATGCTCTGATGCTAAGGAGTTCTACTCCCACCCCCCTGAAAGAAAATATGTTCCAAATGTAAAACACAAGCAGAGGAGTTTCAGTTTTAGTTTCACAGCACCAAGCAGCTTTAGTACAAAACAGTTGAGCTAAGCCATGCCTAGGCTCCTTGCTGTCTCCTTGCTCACACAGCAAATACTGTTTCAGTTTCCAAACAGCCCTCAATTCTCTCACACACTGACAGGATGCTAGCCAGATGAATACCGATGGATGCTGGTAGGCAGAGGCAGCATTTTTTCTCCCCTTATTTTCCTCCCTCCAAAATAAATTCAACCACATAGTTTTGTAGCGAAGCACGGATATTGAGCTAGTCAATTAGATTATATAATACAGATTCCTTTATTAGTTCTGTTAATAAAGGAAAAGGGTATATTTTTTCCTTTTGCATTTTTCTCAACAGTTTTTGCTATCTTCGGAGCCATAAAATAATAAATATTGGTTTTAGACAACATAAGATAGAAAGGAACAAAAAAATGACACAGTGTCATGTAAATTCTTTGTAATGCTTCCTCTGCTTTGTAAACTATGACAGGAAAGTATAGATTTTAGTCATTTTTTGCATTTTAAAAATTTCTTTTTGTTGCAGGAGGAAGCTAGTTATCAGATACGATTCATTGTAACTAAGCAGTGGACCTTATACAGCGTCACTCCTCTGCATAAATTCTCTTACGGAAAATTGTGGGAATATTCTAAACAACTAAGTAATGTTATTACTGCACAAAAGGAGAAGAGATTCATACTGGATGGTGAAACTGATTTAATGTTTCAAGCGAAGTTTTCTTCATTTTCTGTTTTGAAAACCAAAGGAAAAAAACAAACAGCAGTTCTTATTAAGGTAAGTAGTCTTATATAATAGGTAACTAAGCCATTCTTTTACTAACGATGGCTTTGTATTGATACTTTTGAAATATATTACAGTGGATAGGCTATAAAATAACTTGTTTCTAGATAATTTTGTTTATCCATCTGCTGCTGCTGTATATATCTGTACTAAAGTTTTATAATTAACTCCTGGTGTTTCTTCACCAGATGATTCAAATTTAGGTAATCTAAAATATTTTTTTCTTGAAAGCTTATTGTATCCATTAAGGAAGATGAAAGAAAGAATATATATTTGCATACACACACACACAAAGCAGCAAACTCCTTTGATCAAGCTTTATGGGTTGGAAGGTTACAAAATTCAGGTTTCTGTTGGTAAAGTAGCATGAAACAAATCCAGTAGAATCAGACCAAAAAAACTGCTCCAAATATCCTCTTGCTTTTTAATAGCTACATACTTATGCAACTATGAACAGTTCTAAGGGGACCAATTTGGCCCTGCTATGGTATTTTGCAATATGTTGCTTTTGAATCTGTAGGTTCCTTCCTATAGTTATCAATGAGCCAGTTTGTGTGGTTAAAGTAGTAGGCTACAACCTGAGAGACTATGAATTCTAATTCTGTCTTAGGCAGAAGCCAGCTAGATGAACTTGGGCTAGTGACTTTCTTTCATTTCTTGGAAGGAGGCAATGGCAAATTACTTCTGAAAAAGCTTTCCAAGAGAACTGCAGGAATTCATCCAGAGAGTATCCCACAATTGGACACTTGAAACTGGGGGTGGAATTCCAATTATTTGTTTTGAAAATCATTCTTTTTTTTTTTTTTATAAATTTTTATTATTTTTTTAACATAAAAAACACAACAACAAAACATAAAAGTATCAGCTCCCCCATATTTTTGTACACACAGTAAGTCGGTTGGTCCATCGGTTTTGTGCATTCACCTCATAATCACAATTACAGTTACTTTATATAATACTCTTATCAATACAAATTTATAACTCCTAGTATCGCTATTAAAGAAAAAAAAAATTTGACTAAACTTTTATTCGGTCATGC